GGGGGGGGGGACACACCAGGTATTACTGCGGGTGATTATTGCCCAGCGCTATTACCCAGCTGGCCCTCCAACAGTGCCAAACGTCACAGTGACCTCTGACCCTTGACCCCTGACCTTATGACTGAGGACTCCACGCTGCTCTGCTCCGCGTCAGACACAGTCTGTCTGGCCATGGCTTCCCGTGCCGCCAGCTGCTTCTTCTTCAGACTCTTCAGGTTGTGAGAAGGTGACCATTCCTACACACAGGTGCGTAACGCAGATCATAAGCATGTACAGAACACAAATCGCCCTGTTCTCACACATTCATCTGTCGCCCCCTTCTGCAGTATCACATAAGTGTCTAGCTATGCTCTCTGACCCGGGTGAGGTCACTGGGATACTTGACTTCATGCTCACTCTGAGGTTAGGAACCATTCCCCTTGACGGCATAATCAATATGAAGATCAGCAGCATCGGGAGAGTGCTGCATTATTAACACCGCTGGTCATATTATATGCGTCGCTTCGGTTTTAAAAACCGAAATAAAAACGGCCCGTTTGGAAAAACTGCAACACTTGGGGGAGAATAATAAATATGTTGCCTGTAACTGAATTTCCCTGAATAAATTCTTAACTTTCTGCTGGCGTAAGCAAGCCTGTCAGTAAAAAAATATATATATTTACTCGATCAAAGCGAACCGGCAACATGAATACAAACTGGAGGCATCTACGAAGGGCATCGGGCTTAGGGAGGGCCTTTCTGGAAGTGAGGGGAAGAGCATTTACCCACACTGATGGGGGGGGGGGGGCATTGACATGACCACGGGGCATCAGGAGAGTGGAGAACGAGTGACTGAGGGGAGCAAGTCGATAAATGTGCGTGTTTGTGCTTTAGAAAGGAGTAACTCTGTGATTAAGGTGTGTGGGTTGTTCTACCTTAAGAGGAACAACAAAAGCAGGGGAAGAACACAGGTGTCTTGTGTAAGAACCAACAGAACTGTACTGTTAATAATCATAATGCAAGCGTCTGCTTGTTAGCAGCTTTCTGCAGCTACAGTGTGATGAGGAACCGGTAATCATCAGTAGGGAGAGCGGGCGTGGGAAGCGACTGGCGGCGATCAGTGTGCGTCTGTGTGCCCTGCGCCTACCAGCGCCGTGACGGTGGGGAAGTTCTTGGCCATCTCGCGCAGCAGCGTGCCCGTCCTCACGTCCCACAGCTCCAGGGGCTTCTCCTTAAACACCACCACCAGGTACTGCCTGAGGGGGGGGGGATCCATACACCTAAACACCACCCGCAGACTTCATCGGACACAAAGAGGCAAAGCGCCAGCTTTGGAAAAGGCAAAATATTGAGCTCAAAGTACTGGAGACAAATGAGAAATAATGCCCCCCCCCCCCCCCACCCCCCCCCGCAACACACCAACTTCATTAGGCTTGTTTTGGGTTCTGCCCTCAGTAAGGGATCGTCTGCAATTACTGTTCCCAGCAAACTGAGACACAGCTCTGGACATTCAGTAAGTAATAAAAAGGGAGCTATAAGAGTGAGACCGCAGAGACAGCGGCCAGTCGACGGGAGGGCAGCCCACGCCCCCCCCCACGCCCACCCCGCGCCAGCAGCAAACACGGCTATGTGCTGCATTTATAATCCCAGTCATGGATACTCACTTCAGGTGGGAGACTTTAATCATCTCAATGGGCGGCTCGTCGTTCCCCCGCTCACCTCGGAAAGCGAATGTCCTTCCTGAAGAGGAGGGGTAAAGGCTTTCATTAAGGGGACAGTAATCATGGACTGAAAAGGAATGGGTGCTGCTCTTGGACTGTGTGAGATATAAGGCGGACCTAAACTCCAGCCCTAAACCCTCCTGACAGTCTATGTACCTTGAAGCTGTCCCTCTCATTCCAAGCACGCGGCCACATCGGTAGCCCCTCCAGAAGGCCCTGGAGACCAGCAGCAGGGTAACCACCTCATTTAACCAAAAATCCAAGCCTCCCCTCCACTGTAATATCTCTGCTGGTCCGCCATATCTCATCTCCACAGTAGCTCCTTGAATACCGAGCCGTTAATCATCGATGGCAGATAAGGGGGAACTCAACAGGAAGCCATCCACACATAAATACCCAGTGACACAGTGAGTGGTCGCAGGAACAAGCCACCTGCTCGCGCGGTACCTGCACTCCCTCCCACAATGCAAAGGGAACCCGGGAATTTGACATCACCCCGGTGTGTTTGTGTGAGCATGCGTGTGCCTGCAAGCTGTACCTTACCTCCAGATGATAATGACCCTAATAATATTTATAATAATAAATTAAATCTATGCCCATTCCAGTAATTTCTTACTGAAATGGTTTACAGAATGTAAGGCTCTTAGATGGCCCTGTTCCTGAATCACGCCTGTCTCCAACAACCTACACAGATTCTATTCTGAGGTGCTGGACTGCTGTCCTCAGGGAGGAACAATCACCAAAGGTAAATTAATAATCGCGAAGAAGGCAAACAGCCCGAAATTGATCCCAAAGCGGCCCTACTGACAGGGCAGGCTGAGGACACGGTGGACCGATACATGGTTAAAGGGCAGAACCGGAGCTGTCCGGTCTCGCTTGCTCAGATCGGGTAGGGGGCTCCCTGCGGCCCCGCCCCATCCACTGCTCACACCGTTTAGCACTGTGCAGCCTTGCACCAGCTCCCAATTGCCGGATTCTATTCCCTCAAACTCCCCATAGCCTCATGCTGTCAGTGTGGTGCCGTAATGAGAGTTTATGGCCGAATTCTGCCACGGCCCATCCGGCATCCCAGCTAGAGGGCTCGCCTTGCCTCGTCCCGTCTGACACAAGCACATGCACAGATGCACACGAGACACGCCAACTGTGACCTCGTGAGCATGGGCAGGTAAACGGCGCTTATGTAACCAGCCGCCGTCCACGTGGGAAAATTCACCACCTCGCTCTCGGTTTTTGGCAATGATTCACCCGCTGACGTCCTGCCAACAGGGCTGACAGACCGCAGCGACGCACATTAGCCACGCGATGGCACGAAAACAAAAGCAAGGCGCGGTAATTAAGTGCGGCAATTAGTTTACCGCGCTTAACGTGTAACATTCAAGGGAAGGCATTGCCGTAACAATGCAAGAAGTTAACAAGCTTGCTGGGCGCTGCTTCTAGAATCATCTCCCAGGACCGGATTCCCTTCTTGTCTCCTTTGTGTTTAAATTTAATGAGCTCTCACATCTCCTAGGCTTGCCGTTCACGTATGTGAACACGTTTGCAGACGGACACATGCAGAAGCACATGCAGACACCCCTCCTCCACTCCCTCCTTGACAGCAGACCACAAAGCCATTAATCTAGTTTTGAAGGCCATCACCCATCACTGTCCAGGGGTGCTACTGTGTGTGATTATCCCCATACATTCAATAATCTCCAATTACAGGCTTTTCGGCTTAACGTGTTTCCCGCAGATGGTGACCAAGGTCACAAGTCACTCCCACCCCCAATTCTTTTGGTTTCCAAAATTATGTCAAAAAAGAAAGGAGGGACATAAACGATGACTGCTACCCAAATGAAGGCAAAGAGCGAAACAAGGTGCAAGCGCAATGGTATACTACTTTTCAGAGCGACTGGCACAGAGACATATTCGCGGGACATCCGCCGGGTCCTGGCCATCCGTCCAACAGCCGTTTGCTCCTTTTGAAGCTCCATCAGTAAAACTCGTTCATTTATGGAGGCTGACTTGATTAAGAATAAGTCATAAAAAAATATGTCTCAATCTTTTATTGCTTTGGGTGGAGGCCAGTTATTCTCCGGTAGCGAAACTGGAAGTAGCCAGAGGAAGAGGGGAAGTGAAATAATGCCGCATCTCTCCAGCTGTCTGAGCTGCCCGCCACTGTGATGGACTGGCCCTCTGAGGCAAAGAGAAGGACTATGACTGGACTGGGGGGGGGGAGGGTTCAGGATTCGGGGGCCTATTACTGATTTTATGTTTTTCAGTTACTTGGCGAGGGATTTGAGGGATGTCGGGTGATATTCATGACCACAAAGCTATTAACCGCACGGTCCTTACCACTGTTTCCCCGTTAAACCGCGGCCTGTCTCATCTGTTTATGACAGATCAGTAACGACCAGCCTCAGTGTAACTAATAACTCTGTCGACCAGCCTCCCTTGGCTGCTCCCTCCGTCTCGACACAAAGTCACCCCTCTACTTTCACTCCGACACGCGCCAACAACTCGAAGTGCCATTTCAGTGCAGGTCCAGGAACCAAACGAATGTTTAATAGGTCCTACATAAAATCTGAAGACCAAAAACGCGGGATCTTGATATGGGCGGATAAGAGGCACAGTGTAGCTGTTACAAGGTAATAAAATTGGTGGATAAAGAAAACTAGCATCTAATAGCAGGTGGCCATGTTTTAGAGGACTGAGACCAAATGTTCTTCTGTTATAAACAAGTGCAACACATGCAGATCTCATATGCAGACAGTGGGTTCTGCAGGGCGTTTGGTCTGACCTGCAGCGTGTGGTATTTAATGGGGCAAGTCTGGCACGTATGTTGTGTAACACTGTACTTGATAAGTGATCAGGGAGGAGAGATGGATAGTAGCCTGGTATGGTAGTCGTTGAAGGAACAAGATGGTCTGGATGTCACCAGAAAATCATAAGCATAGAAGTAAATCTACCACTGGATTTATGTGTCATCTTAGAATGGATGAGTCTCTGTTGGTTTGCCCCAACAGAAATACTGCGTAATGAAACAGAAAAATAAGCATCAAGATAACCAGTAATTGGATCGTTCTGAAGGGAGGACAAATTTGGCCCCACACAAAACAGCATCATGAGCTGATATGTTAACAATCCATCCATCTGATCATTCATTTCACACAAGTTATTGGTTCATTCAGTTCATAGTCACCAGCACAATAAATTCAATACGTAGAGAGAGACGAGACCAGTGCCTCACCTGTGGGCAGGTGAGTGTGCTGCAGCTCATTCCGCACCAGGCCCAAGTTATTGGGGGCTGAGGTGGCGAAGGACAAGAAGCTGCTGAGACTGACCCACTCGATCCCCCTGGAGAAACAGACATACACAGACACAAGCGCCAATATTTGAGTGTCATGGCTCCTCGGAAAGACAAAGACAGATACACAGACGTGCAGCATGCATTGAGACTCCAGAGAACAGTTGCCGACGGACCAATCAGGCAAGAAGAATGCTGACAGTGGGCGGGCACCGCTGGGAGAATTGATCGGCCGTGGGGCCAATAGGGATGTCACGCCCGATGGGTCACAGTCTACAAAGCGAGCAGAGGCAGGATGGGAGGTGTCACATGACCTGTGATGGCACAAGGCCCATGTGCCGGGAATTGTCATTTGTGGGACAGCACAGGGACGAAAAAGGCGCCCCACAGAGGATCAGATGGAGTTTCACTCAGAAGGTAGTAGTACTGTCAAAAAAAAATCAAACATTTAAATAAAGGAACCGTTCACTAGCCACATTACTGACTGACGTACCGTCTAATAGGTCTCCAACCATTTAATTCTTCTTTCCAGTTTCTGCTGGGAAAACTTTTCTTAAACGAATGAGGCAGAGTATCCGTCATGATTAATTTGATAGATGGTGCATAATGATCTCTATTAACCTGAAGCGCCCAGGCTTTATCTGGAGAGATTTCACGCGAATCGCAGGCACGGCTAAAGGCTACAGATTAGCAGCCACTAAGAGAATACAGAGGAGCTAACAGACCAGGAAGGGAGAGGGGAGTGGAAGGGGGGCTGCAGGGGGGCGACGGGGGAGCAGCAGGGGAGGTATGGGAGGACGAACCACGTTAGCATTAGGTGCCAGCTAAAGCATACACAGCAGAAGGGCTAATTAACAGGGCTGCAGGAAGCATGTGTGAGACGACCTGTTCAATTTCACCACTGGGTGTCGGGGGGGGGGTTAGGCGCTCGGTGGGGGTGTGTGTCTGTCTCTGTGTGAAGTGGGGGAGTCCGATAACACAGTGACAGGGCCGGTCGATGGCCTGCTGTGAATGGAACTGGGGGGGGGGGGGGGGGGGGGGGGGGGGGGGGGGGGGGGGGGGGGGGGGGGGAGATCTGCAGGGAGATGAACCGGGGGGGGGGATTTGTGGAAATTCCGCTAGAGAGAGCTGACAGTATGAGAGAGAAAGAGGGGGGGGGGAGGGAGCATGAACGAAAGTAGGGGTGTGACAGGCAAGAGGGAGGATGAGGACTGAAGCAAAGGCAGGAGTCGGGGTGGGGTGGGGGGAGTTGGGGGGCAATCCTTAATATCATTCACACCCGAGCTACAGGGACTGAGAGAAGCTGGAAGGCAAATGGATGCTTCCAGAATGTTGGATGGAGAGGCACCTGAGCAGGGATGAAAAGGAAGGATGTGACTGAAGATGGGGGATTGCCACAAGATGGGGGGGGGGAGGGATGCGGGGCAGTCATTTATATTATACCCAGTCACAGCTATACAGTCCGCTCCTCAACACACACACACGCACGCACGAGCACACACACGCACGAGCACACACACGCACGAGCACACACACGCACACACACACAGTGCAGTATATTTGGGAAAGAAGTGAGGGGGGCCAAACCCTATCCGCAGCTCCAGCTCTGCCTTCATAAACAGCTAACAGCTTCCTGCTTATGACTGCAGGAGGAAGGAGCTGCAGGTTTACAGGAGCAGAGTGAAATAAAGGCAGACACCATCACAGACTCTTGGACGCACAAAACTCCAGATGAATTGTGCATGCAGGAAACACCTTGGGCAATGAGTAACTTCTGTAATTAAAGGGCGGCCTGACCCTTGGAAAACAGAGGGCCGGCTCTATTGTCCCCGATCAATCTGTAAATTGCTTAATTGATCACATTTCCTGCTTAATGGATCACAGTGAAATTGTTCTGAATGAACCAGTTAACAGTTTCTGGGGCCACACTGGCTATCACACCCAAACTCGAAGGAGACTGTGGTTCATAATGTCAGGGACTGACTGAGGAGCCCAGAACAACAAAGCAGGAATATGCAGGGGAACCAGCTGTTAGCTTCCTTTATCTTTGCATTTTCCGTGTTTCCGTGGCGACGGAATGCTAATCCGGGCATCACGGACATCGAACCCACATCCTCCCTGCAGGACTCATTAGGTTAGTTAATGGGTTCAATTACATGTCTAATATAACCTGCATAACCGTAATATCCATACTTATTAAATTTGATATCTTCAAAGACAGGGTGCATGTACACTTAAAAGCTAGCCACTCGTTAAAAGAGATGAGAGAGAATGGTACTAACAAAAGCAGTTTAAGGGAACAAAATGAGACTGAAAGGGTTAAGGACGAATCCAGTCTTTCTCCTTTTCTTTCAATAGTCTTTTGTGGCAGCTGATGGTACCAGAGACACAATCGATGCCTCCTACCCGCACAGACGTGTGCTCGTGCACACAGAGGGGCTGGAGGAACAGGAAGGACCCAAGCATGAAGCATTAGCATAGCATTAGGCACTCTGATTAAAGTCCACCATCGGTGTGAATGCATTATGTTACATAAAGGGGGCAGCGTTCTGGTGTTTTAAAAGAGCTTCTACTAGAGATCAGGAACCAAAATGGATAATTAAAAAGAAAAAGAGTAATTACTTCTGAGTTAGCACTGCATCAAGCAATATGTTACTGGACCAGAACGTTGAGAAACTCAAGGCTGTGACTTACATTTATTATTAATATATTATTTATTTAGCAGTGCTATCATTAGAGGGGTAATTTACAAGAAAGTTGCCTCAGGAAACAGCAGGGACATCTGTCGGAGTGACATGAAAATTTAGAGTCACCTGACACTTAAATGAGCTGCAAACCTGTGCCGTCGATAAGCCGCCCCCCGGTACTGAAACAACGTTTTGACGGCGGCTGACAGGAAGGCATGAGATGGGCTCCTGAGGAAGGGCTATGAGAGAGAGGGAGACCGCATGCCGGCCGTTATCTCAGACTACACCATCCGTTCTCATAATGTCACGTCTTGGCAGCTGTCTGCTCAGCTGAAATGGATGTAAATGGATTTTAGATTTCAAGACGAGAATTACGAACACGGCCGTAAATATCAAATTTGTACAGGATAACCAGACTTGACGTGAAGGACTGGGCTAGTCACCGGCGCAGGAGACACCTAGACGGCCACTGGGAGTGCGTCTGCTCTCACCTGACTTCGCAGGAGTGGCTGCTCAGCTCTTTGTGGAGAAGGCCGCTGGTCAGGTTGTAGATGAGCACTGAGCCGTTGCTGGTACCTGAGGAAAAGGCAGACAAATGATATTTAACCGCTTCCTGTTTCGAGTTGCTCTGAGCATCGAGGCCATGGTCCCTGCCAAAGCTGCCCCCCAACCCCCCAAGCATTTCTCCATTTAAAGGGCCGCATCTCAAGGTTCTCGACAGATCAAAGATTTAGGCCACTGTGAAAGATGTCTCTCCAAAAGCAGACCAGAAATAGCAGTGGTCTCTCTAAAAGCAGACCAATAAAAGCGGTGGTCTCTCCAAAATCAGACCAATAAAAGCGGTGGTCTCTCCAAAAGCATAACAAAAGAAGCGCTGGTCTCTCCAAATTTAGAATTTACACAACAACGAAATGTGTCCTCTGCATTTAACCCATATGTGACATAGCAGGGGGCAGCTAATTCAGTGCCCGGGGAGCAGTGCTTGGGGGCGGTACCTTGCTCAGGCTACCTCAGTGGTGCCTTGCTGGTTGGGATTCGAACATTAAGCCACCACTGCCCACCATAGCGGACCATTAAAAGTGGTGGTCTCTCCAAAAGCGGACAAATAAAAGCAGTGGTCTCTCCAAAAACGAACCAATAAATGCAGCGGTCTCTCCAAAAGCAGACCAATAAAAGCAGTGGTCTCTCCAAAAGCAGACCAATCAAAGCAGCGGTCTCTACAAAAACAGACCAACAAAAGAAGTAGATTCTCCAAAAGCAGACCAATAAGGTGATTATCAGCCTTTCAACTTCAGAGACCTCTGAAGTGCACCATAAAAGCCCATTCTCATTCAGAAGCAAATCCACCGTACAGTACACCCCCTTACAATAAATTACTCTCCTTACCAAGAGCTAATTGCTCGTTAGCATAAAATCTTACCCAAAAAAACATACCCTGCGATATTACTCAGGATAAGTACCTCATCGGGGGCAGAACAGAAGAGGCTCTGGATTCGAATCAGCAATTAAAGGACCATTAACGGCTAAGCTACTTCCTGGCACGCGTGTGACATTCTGTGCTGCTGCTGGGGATGCTAAAGGTCGCGTTCCCTCGATTCGGCACGGCTGGTGCTGCAAACTCAAACAGGACACAGCTAAACTGCAGTCGCACCCCTCTGCCTCCAGGGTGCGTCACAGGTAGAGAGTTCAAATAGGCACCGAACACTGGGAAATAATATTTTGGATCGCCTGCACAGCTGTAAATGTACACAATTAATTGACTAATTTGACCAATTAGGCCATCAGGGACAGGCTGAGAATTGATAGCCATATGGCTTCTTTGGGATGTGGTGTCCTCACACAATCTGCTCTCTAAATGCACAAACCAAAGTAAAAGGAGGACTTGCTGTAGGGCCAGTGGATAATAAGTCATGTATAAATGCATACACACACTGTGCTAACTACTCTCAAGGGAAAATAGGACCATATCTGAATATGAAGGACTACGTAATAGGATTTAAAGCAGATTAAAGCAGACGTCTGGGTAGTCAGTCTCCATGCTGCTGCTGGTCTCACCCAAGAGCTACTTAATAAACATCTATAAGGGTCCTTTTTATTAAGCTCTCGTTCTCTTTTCCCTCCCCTCCAGATTCGCCCTAGACTCTAACAGTTTTCTTTGTTCTGGAAAATTCCAACCCACAGGACATCACCTGAGACCATCTTAACACCACCACTATGATTCTTTGTCATTTTGGGCCCCAGGACAATCTGCAACAGTGCTGACGGAATCGGACAGAACAGGCCAGAACCAGACAGAACCAGTCGGTGACAGACATCATTCCCTTTCTCCCATCACTGCAGCACCTACAGTAGCTTCCCCTTCCCGATTTAAGAATACTTTGGGGGGGGGGGGGCATACATGTATATTAGGGGACTGCAGTGGTCATCCACAAACATGGCAACAGGGAGTAGAAAGGTGATGAATGCATGCCTAAAACCAGTTTTAACCAGTTAATCCCTTTAGTGTCAAAGAAAGATGACAATGAGGGTGTTATATAGGGGCATAGACCCAGAGGACAGGGAGGCTGAAATTGAAGACTACCTTAAACGATCACCAACAGAGACGAGCTGGTGCATGACAACAGACGTCTACACATAGAGAGAAGACTGGGAATCGGCCACCTAAGGGAGACGGCTTTTACAGTCATTGAAGGCGGCACTAAATAAGATTTTTGCAAAAATGTTTATGATAGTGTTTCTGCACAGCAGGTAAACTAAGAATAAGCCAGTTGCATAGAAACAAAGGAAAACCACATACAGCTTAATTAGTCTGACAGGCATTTCTATATTACTGTGAGTCAAAAGCAGGAAAGCATACTGACAATGTTTTTATATACTGTATGCATGCTGTACCACATGAGTCAATTTCACGGCAAAATGTCACCGCAGTGCTATGGCCAGCTTTCTGTATGAGGTCAGAGGGCTTCTGCACCAACGGCCTTCAGGAGTTTCATTCATAAACAGATCCACCTCTCCCAGACTGCGTTAAAATGTGTATGAGATTGAGCTGTCAGGCCCGAACGCCAACAGACCCTGTAAACATGGAATGTCAAAGGGGGAGGAGGCGGGGAGGTGCAGATTGACCGGCAAAGAAAGAACAGCCCTCAATCATAGTGGGGGTAGCAGCAACAGTTATCAACTCACAGCTGGAAAAATGTTTACGGGGGATGGGGAGAGAGAAAGAGGGAGAGAGAGAGAGAGAGAGAAAGAGAGAGACTGCCGATGAGAGTTTACTCCTGGTCTGAGTAAAATCCACCAGCATTTAATTAATGTGCCTAATCTATATTTTGGAATTAAATATTGATCTCAAAATGAATTTAACAAAACGTGACCTTAACCACAGAATATATTACTATTAGGTTAAAACGTTTTATTCCACATCATCAAAAGAACACTGGTATTAAACTAAACTTTCTGTGGTATATTTCTAAATTTCATTCCGAATGTAAAAACCCCTGGTAATAACAGCAGTGAAAGTAAATTTCAATCAAGAAAAGACAGAATGTACTCCGGGTTGAGACAGAATCAGGGGGCAGCATTTATGCCGGACTCAGTGGAGGTGTATCTACATAGCGGAGGTGTATCTACACAGCGGAGGTGTATCTACACAGCGGTCGCCAATCAGGCAGTCAGGGCTGCGACTGCCATGATGCGCTGAGGCCGCTGAATCTGATCCCAGAACATGAAGACATTAGCAGGCACCTCCCCGCACTCAGTAAAATAAAATTTATAATGGAAAACATCCCTATGAGAAACACCTACAAGTTCTGTAAGGTGGATGTGCACCAGTTCACGACCCAATGACATCATCAGTGGACTTCAGTAGGGGTACCCAACCCCTGGTCCGTGGCCAGCATTCCACCGGGCCGCAGAAAGCTAGGGTTTTGCACAGGGGTTGGTTAATTTTAAAAATAATAATAATAAAAACATTTTACCAGTCCATGACTGGCCATTTTACTGGTCCCTAAAGTTTTTGTACAGCATAAACCAGTTTGTGGGAATCTACAGGTTAGGGCCCCTGGAGTACAGACACACATCAGTACCTAGCATGTCGTACCTGTGATGGACTTCATTTCCTGTGAGCTAAAATGCAGAGAAATTCAAATCTCTGTAAATATATGTATTTCCGTGGCACATTTTATAGAACATTTTTACAGGGCAAATTAGTCACTGGGGCTCCTATAATGTAACAGCTTGTGGTGATATTTTACATAACTGCTCTGCAATGTACTGGCTTCCCATGCAGGCTGCAACCTGCCCTTATACCCGGTGCTGCCTGGGATAGGCTCCAGCCCCCCCGCCTCCCCAGACCCGGGCCAGGACAAATGGATGGATGCATTTCAACGCAGACAGGAAGGGAAAATAACATACATCTAAGCGGACCATCATCCCATCACAGCAAATACAGATTTGCACAACTAATAAAGGTCTGAATAAAATGGAGGGAATGATTGTTTTGAAACGCTGCAAAGGTGAGATCGAGTCCTCAAGCAAATGAGCAATTAGTCACGCAGGCAGCCTTCACGTAACTAATAGTACTTCCCCATGGTGTGGTAACAACGCAAACTGCACTCTGGATAAGGGATTTTAAGCTGAGAGTTTACACTGTGAGATCACGCCAGGGGTCAGCTGTGGGGGATCGGCAGGCTCTTTCACAACAGCTGGTGTGGTGCCTCCCAACTTAACCCCTACTGTTAGAGGTGGACAGTTCAGGTTCAGAAAGTAAGAAATCCAGACCAAGATTTTGTTTCCACCAACCAGTCCAGTATAAAGAGTCACAGTCAACTGGTTGGTTGAAACAAAATCTTGGTCTGGATTTCTACTTTCTGAACCTGAACTTTCCACCACTGTACTGTTGACCTTTGAACAACCTCAAAATAATGAGGTACAGCATTGGAAAAAATCAAGCACAGCACAAGTTTTTGTTTCACTCATTTCTCAATTCATGGGTGTGCATCTGTGAATCACATACTTTCTTTTGCTAACTGCAGCCTGGCTCTCCCCTGTTTCTCATTGATGAAGGACTTCTTCCTTGCTTTATGGGACTGCAGTCCTGCTTCTAGGAGCCTGATATGAATTGCTGATACGAATTGTCCTAGCACTGCACTGCACTGCACTTCACACTACTTAATCTTTCCCATTCCTTTAGAAGATCACTTGATGTCATCCTCCGATTCATGAGAAACTGTTATAAGTTGACAGTCATCTCTGGCATTAGTAAGCTGCGTCTCCCCTCTACCTGGCTGGTTTTTGGTTATTCCCAGTGTCTCCTGCTCCACCTTGTTCTTCTGAACTGCTGTCTTAGAAACTCTGAACTTGCAAGAAACCTGCCACTCAGTGTAGCCTTCTGTCAGCAGAACCAGAATTAAACCAGGATTTTAAAATGCAGATCTTTTTAAAGTATAGAGGTAGAGCAGGTAAGAGGTTAGGGGCGTGTGCTGATGATGGCTCATTGCCACACCCCCCCCCCCCCACACGAACCACGTCAGGGATTAGAACCTGAGTGCAGCCATGTGGCGGGTGATACTTCAGCACCACACTAATCCGAATGGACCACAAGATTCGAACCAGCGACCTTCCGATTGCTGGAACAGAGGCACCACGCCACCCAATATAGAGTGGTCTCAGTTTTTTTCCAGAGCTGTACATAATCAATGGAATGATGAATGTTCTCAAAGAAATACTTTGTGTAAACATTGAGGAAAATGAAGGTATTAGCTGAGAAAAGACTCACCTACGGCCAGGAGGGGCTGGTAGTGGCTGATGTTCTTGGTGGTGAGTGGGGGGCACATGCGGAGGGAGAAGGGAGGCAGGGGTAGCCCCGAGAGGAGGCCCGTCAGCAGGAACTTCAGCAGCACCTCCTGCTGCTGTGGGGCCTGGGCCGGCTCCGCACCCGGAATGGTGCCCTGTCCCGCTGGAAGGACGGAAGGGCACCAAACCAAACCATTCAAAACTGGGTTGTTATATCATATTCGACGCTGCGGCCGGGGGCAATTAACAGGGGTGGGGCCGATAAACATCACAGCGTGGGGTAATCGTCATGCTGCGCGAGGAAAGACGTTTTGCAAGGGAAATCCTGCCCTATCATACGTTTATATGCTAATATGTGATCTGGCCAGCTTGGCGAGGCCATTATTTTGAAACACAGTAGTTCAGTCCAACACGAATATTAAAATGTCACACGCAAACACTCTAAATCTACAACCGCTCTTGGCACAAAATACATTTGTGCGCTGTCGGGGATCCCAAAAATGCAGCTGATGGCATCTCAAACGGTGTTTATGAAGCTCCGGATCGGCATTAATGCAGGATCAACCTCCCTGTAAAGTCTGCAAATAGGCCTTATGCCTCCCCCGATCAACATCTCGCATCTAAAATAAAGTCCTGTCCGGGGGAGAGGTTGTGTTTTTCTTTTTGTCACAGCAAGTTTTGCCATTTAGACAGAGAAACGAACGAGTGCTGATGGCGTGGAAAATGGCACCCGAGCCCTGGCCGTCAGCGTCTCGGAAACGACACGGTGGAAATATGAAGTCCAGGAAAGATCTGTATTGGTGGGGGTGGGGGCTGCAGGAGAACCCGTCACCATGCCAGCCTCGTCTGTGTATAATAAGCACCCCCCTAGGGGGGAGCCCAGCGCATCGAGTGCTTCTCTGACGCATCAAACCGCATCCGGCCGCCTTCTGCTGGCAGCTGCGCCGGTGAGAGAGCGGCGTCGGAGAAGACGGCATAATGGAAAAGCAAAAAGAATGGAGAGAAACAGACGGGGAGAAACGGGAAGGAGAAGCGGCAGAAAGGTGCGGAGACATATGCTTCTGTATAGAGGCAGATGGATAGACAGAGTGAGGAAGATGAAAGGAAACACAAGAGGTGAAAAAGACGGGGCCGAAAGGGGATCCCCAGGCAAATATTACCTATCATGTTGTTGAGGGAAAGGTCCGGGATCATCTTCTGGTTGGGGCTCAATGGCGTGCCGCAGAATGACAGCGGGGAGTAGAGGGGGGTCAGGCCAGACCTGGAAGAATAGGAGTGAAATGTACTAATACCCCACTCAGATATATAAGCCCCAGAGTGTTCTGATTCTGAAGATGAAGGCTTGATCTCCATTAGCAGCTTGGTGATTCTGACAGGCAAGTGTACCCCAGATTGCTGGCGGATCTGGAGACGTGGGCCTTGAGCTCCCACAGCATCACCCTGCCGTCGCTGACCACCAGGGCGGCGGCGTTCTCGTTGACCGGGCAGATGACCACGCGGTACGGGCGCACCGTCTTGGTGACCCGGATGGCGTCGCACTGTGAGCGCAGGTCATACACCAGCTCCTGGACTGCCTGCTCGGGGTCTACTGGGGCAAGAAGGTAGGGGAGGGGGGCAGAATGAGGGAAAAAAAAAATCTACATATATGTATCAGCAGTGCTGTGAGCTCTGTCAGTCATGAACAGATGTGTAAGATGGAGTGCAGCACACAGGGAGAAAACAAAGGCAGCGAGTGCCAGGGTAGGGGGCTCTGACCCGATTCATCAGGAGGGGGCGCCCCGGAGCGGCTCAGTCGCAGGGTGATGCAGCCGTTCTCATGCAGGCAGTAGAGGGCATCCCTCTGGGCACACGGCACCACCTGCCGGGCAGATGCGAGGTCAGGGGTTTGCAGGCAGACCATACAGGGGAGCGTGTGTGTGTGTGTTTGTGTGTGTGTGTGTGTGTGTGTGTGTGTGTGTTTGTGTGTGTGTGTGTGTGTGTGTGTTGGGCAGTGGCCTGAGTAACTGCCAGAACACAAAAAACATGCCAGTAAACGAGGGACAGCATAGTACACTGAAGGCGGCGCCTCTCCACAACCACCAATAAAGTGCAGGGGAGACCCACAACATCCACGCCTATGGCAAACGGGGCAACTCCAGTAAACTGAGGGGAAACTGGGAGGGAACCTCATCCCAACACTGGGAGGTGCCTGAACCTTGAAAGATACAGCTGTGGAAAAAAATGAGAGACCACAACACAATTTTTTTTCTCACTCATTTCTCAGTTTATGGGTGTGCGTCTGTGAATAATACCTTTTTTTTTTTTGCAAATTGCAGCCTAGTTCCTCTCTGTTTCTCATTGATGAAGGACTTCTTCCTTGCTTTATGGGTCTTCAGTCCTGCTTCTAGGAGCCTGATACGGACTGTCCTATCGCACTTCACACCTGCACTTAATGTTTCCCATTCCTTTTGAAGGTCATTTGTCGTCATCCTCCGATTCATGAGATTCACATGTTAACAGTCACCTGTGGCATTAGAATGTCTCTTCTGCCCTCTACCTGGTTGGATTTTGGTCGTTCCCAGTATCTCCTGCTTCACCTAATCTTGTGCACTGCAGTCTTAGAAATTTTGAACCTGGAAGCAACCTGCTGCTCAGTGTCAGTATGTGTGCTCAGTGTCTCCTCTGTCCATCCACTCAGTCATACCACCCAGTCCTAACCTCACTTGAGCAGGCCTGCCAGTCTGTCTCCTCTGTCCATCCACTTAGTACACTCTCTGCTCTGTTGGCTGCGCAAACCAGCAGGTCCCAGGCCACTGCATGCACGTCTGTGTAATATCTTGTTTCAACTAATTTGCACAAAGGGTGTATGAGGAGACTGGGAAGGTCCAGTCGCCCATTTTGGGGAATGATCAGCAAGGGATTGGGTCACGAAGGCTGCCTGGCCTGCCGGCATTTGGCAAAGCAGGTCAGGGTGATGAAACAAATCTCAGATGGTGGACTGATACGGGTCTTCCTCCGCAGTGACGTCAGCCTGCCGGTCTGAGGTGTAAACAACAGACGCACGGCCCTAAGGTCATTTCTTCAACCGTAATCTTCAATTTAGGCTATGAGGAGGCAGTATCACCACGTGGTGACCATGGAGGGCTTCCGTGGGGGATTATGTGGCTGGGCTGAAGAGCAGAAAACCATTTTTATACCCAAAAAAGGAGTTTTTAAGAGATGTGGTGCAAAGAATACAAGCATTTGGGAAGTCACATGGTCGGGTGAGTCATCCTTCATCCCGTCCTCGACACCCGGATGAGTAAATGTGCGATACGCCAGCAGGAGCATCCAGACAACTGTTTCCCTCGGTGAAGGCTTCCGGCGTGGGCTGCGTTTTCCTAACACAGCTAGGTAAACGCCAAAAAAAAAGACAGAGCCGCTCCGAGCAATAATGCTACTCAAGTGACAGAGCGTTTCCATGCCGACGGGAGTGGAATCTTCCAGGGTGACAACGTTTTCATCCACGGGGCCAGAGCCATCACCAAACGGTTTGGTAAACATCCAAAAAAGACAGTCCAACGGTACCGAGCGGTTTTCTAGCCGTGTCTGAGACTGAGATTTTTCCACCACCATAAAAAGAGCATACAATAATTTCATATAAAACAAAAATGTCATGTCTTTGCAACCAAGTTACAGTCATCAGTACACTCTATACCACTGAGCTCAGTCTGCCTTGGCTCACTGAGGCGTTAAGCCCTGGTAAGACAACATTTTGGTTTTTACAAATAACTGGAAATACACAGCAATACAGGCCCTGTAGCCATTATTGTCCTATAAATCATTGATGTACACAGCGGTACAGCCAGTATAAAGTGTGGCGTAAGGTTAATGCCAGCGTGTGTGTGTGTGTGTGTGTGTGTGAATGTGCTCACGCTTGCATACGCCTGCATGCATGTGCATCACTAGCTCCAATGCCCCCCCGGCTGGGCCTGGGTCATCACTCATGCAAATTGCCTCGCTGACAGGTGCTTTATATCACTTAGGAGATGATGGTGCTCCTGGAGAGGGTGGCCTGATGTCGGGAGGCACCATCCCGCTTCCCCACACTTCTGACGAGGCATGTAGGGGACCTGGGCTGGGCACCGGAAGGTTGTTGGTTTGACTCCCAGGTGGGCCTGGGTAAATGCACCCCTAAGTAGTCTCCTGGGGTGAATATTCTACGTATAATATACCCAGCTGCCAAAAAAGCTCACCTCTACAACTCACTGGTGTTTTTAGGCTGTACTAAAAAGAGACATGCACCCCCCCACCCCCCACAAAAACAGCTGAAATATTACGTTTAAATCCTGCCTTGTGTGTGCCGTTTCGTTTATGCTTTTTGTGAAAGGACCGGGGGTTACTCTGACCCCCTTCAACTTGACTGTCAGCACTGGTCTGAGAGCGGTAAATAAAACCAACAGGTCTGCCGGAAAGGGGGGGGGATGGTGAATGCCTGCATTGTGTGGGTGAGGGAGCAGTCAGCAATGAGCATAGAAGTGACAGGCAGGGAGAGATGGGAATATTGGGGCAGACAGAGGCGGGGGGGGTCACGGCCACCATATTCCCCTCTTCTTAAAATACAATAGAGACAGAGGAAAACACTCAATTGCTACCGTTTCAAAACGTTCTCTGATGGAACAAGATGAAAATTGGTAGCAAATTTGTAGTTAGTGACCTGCTTCAGCAAGAATTTTTACTCTGCAGCTCAGGGCAAATGGGATGTGTCTTTGGGGCTGTCTCCTGAGAAACTAAAGGAGGCCGTCGTGCGAGGCACCGCGGTCGCGCCCACCTGAATGAAGGGCACGCCAGAGCGCTCGATGGCCACCACGCCCACCGTCTGGCTGAGCTCCAGGTCCAGGATGAGGATCTCGCGCGGGTACAGCAGCACCATGTGGTTCCGCTTCGCGGGCAGGTAGGACAGCTGCAGGCAGTCGTTGAGGGTCACCGCCTCCGGGCTGCTCACACACCAACGAGAAGGATGGAAGAAGAAAAAGAGAGGAGGGATTCAGAGACGTCCGCCGGCCTGCCCTGGGCTCAGGGGGACCCAGTCAGGGACTAATTAAAAGCAGAGGCAGGAGAACCGTGCTTGGAAAAGACAGGTGACTGTCTTAGCTGGCTGATTCCTCTCGGTATACTCTGTCAAGCTGGTCAAATGCACCCCCCAGGGAAAAAAAAAAAAACTGGGGACCAGTGCAAAGCCACTACTCCAGTAAAAATATGCAGCTGAATGAATAATACGAGATATAATTTATTAAAAATATCTATCCATCAATTCATTCAGCCACTTCTCCTTATGACAGGGAAACAGATAAAATATTAACCTAAAAAAAATGTAACAGCTACGATTCTTTCCTTACAAAAATATAATATCATGATATGATAAGCAGCATGACTAATTAGCGACTGAGACGAGGGCAGGAACAGTGACGGTGATGAACGAGGCGCAATCGCAGGACGGATCCTGCAGGCTGCGCTCCGAGCGTGACAGTGACGGCTGGATGACGGGCCAGTGATTCCCAAGCCGTGATCAGGGGATGCCCGTGACCTTACAGTCAGAGCTACTGTACGACCCACGTTTGTGCCTGTCCCTGGTATCACTGATCAGGCGGACGTTCAATCCGGAATGTTCTGCATTCCGCTTTGCGCGGGGCTCCAACTTTCCAGAGTGTGATGACGGAGAGGGTCACGCCTGACCATCTGACAACCAAGACTGAACATGCCAACACATCCCTCCCCATTACCATGATCATCTCTCCTCCTGATGATACATCTTGTCTGGAGAATAGTCTCCCAATCCCCAATGTGCCTGTTTAACATTCGGCCTGCTGCAGAGACCAACAGAACAGGAGCGGCCAAGCCCACACAGGGGGGGCGTCTACAACCACGTGCCCACAAGCACAGCCTCGCATCTCTCCGGCGTCAATCACAGGCGGAAAATGCAGAGCTAGGGGGTTAAGGACCTTCTTCAAACCAGCAACAATCCACGCTTGGACATTCTACTACCATGATTTAATAATTCCGCCTTCGTAGATTGACAAACTCGTTACAGCTCGTTAACTGGCAATGTCAGCCACTAAACAATTCTAGGCCTTTTTGTACAAACCCACGGATCCTTGAAACACAAAGTGTTTCCTTGTTGAGAGTTCAGCTGATTTTGTGAATCTGATAAGAAGTAAAATTCCCATCATTTCCGCCCCCTTTGTTGCACTACTCTGACAGATAACAAGAGTATGAATAAAGATATTTTAATCTGGTTTAATCTTTTTTTTAAGGCCAGAAGCTTAGTCTGCCTTATTCCCGCAGCAGGAAGAAGCAAAGACCGTCTGATGTAGGGAACAAAGTAGAGGGACGACTGCTAATCAATCACATCCATTTGCAAGATGGCGGCAGGCAAAAGAAACTTTAGCGGCCCTGGGGAGAGGCGATCAATGAAAACAAATCAGAGAAGCGGGGGCCTGTGTCATCTGGAGGTCAGGAATGCCCCAAGTGAGAAGGAGAGATGGGCTTCTTTCACAGAGAGCTTTCAAAATGGCAGACGAAAGAAAGCGACTGACCAAAGGACGGCCAGAGGGGGCGCTGTCCGGCATCGGTTACTAACATATAATAGTGTCGCTCCAGCAAAATTCACAAGCTCCTCTTCATTAATGTAATGTTTAATGCTAAAACGAGTTCCGCTCGTTTCCTCGTCTGAGGAAACCTCTGTGCCCAGTACAGGGTCACAGAGTTTATTCCCATAAGCATACGGGAAGGAGACAGCAGTCAATCACAGGGCACATACACACAGAATCCTTTAACAGCACTGCAATTAAAAAGGTCAAAAGGAGACATGGAGAGCTGATATTTATTGAAAGGAAGTGTTATAAATGTAGTATTCAGCCTAGCGCTGCGGCAGAAGAGGCTCAGTAACACAGCAGCCGTGAGCCAGAAGTGCCGGCAAGGTGGTGCTTAGCCGTGTAGCCTTGCATGCAGAAGGTTGTTGGGTCTAATCCCTGTGCAGAAGTATCTGGGCCTTAGTAGGGGGAGCCTGTATATATCACTAAAACTGTGCGATTAGTCTTTAATTGTGATGGCAACTAATCTTACAGCTCTTTCAAATTAAGTTTAAAATGGACACAGGCAACCATTATGACTGAGAGATGGAAAGGGGAGCTTTTATGCCCTGTTTCGTGTGAGAGCACTTTGGGGAATTACACCTGGGAAGAGGAATTGGCGGATACACTGTGTAACAGTCCCTGCGGACCCCAGAGTAGCAATGTGGAGCCAATCTGTGTGCAGCAGACCTTGAGTTTAAGGGATGCCGCCAGCAGACCCTAAACTGCATTTTATCATCTGAGCTGGAAAAAACCCCAGACTCTGCATCGACTATCCAGAAGGACACTGTAAAGTTACAGCTGCCCTCCTGCCTGGTCGCTATATCTATTCAGCCAAACCCACCAATAAAAATATCTAGCACATTTAATTGCATAAGCGTGGCACTGAGGCTGAGTGAGTAGGCCTGAAGCCTCAGGGTTATGGGTTCGGGTCCCACCCCCAGCTCTGTGTGGGCTTTTCGTGTTCTCCCCGTGTCCGTATGGATTTCTTCACACAGCCAGTAAAGTGCAATTTAGATGAACTAGCATCTGTAAATCATTCAGAACATGAGGCCTGATACTGACTGGCTTCCTGGGAGACTTGGACCAGGATAAGAGGTTGGAAAAAGGAAGGATTTTTTGAGACCTAAAAAAAAAAACAAGTCAGGAAATTCATCCAGGAATATTTCAAGTCCCTCCTGGTCCCAGCTTCACATTTCCAGTGACGAAAGAGCGACTCTTACCAAACAGAGAGAATAAATTAATCTCCTATGCAACGGAAGCAGATTCATTTTGGGACTTTGGAGTCCTGCTGCAGTACTGCCAGGAACACACTAGATTCCTACCTGGGTTTCTCGTTGGTGATGAGCACTTTGACCTTATTCAGTGCCTTTTTGGCGCCGGTGGGGGGGGCCGGTTTGCTGTGAGCTGGGCTGGCATGGGGGCTGGCGATGTAAACCTTCTTGCCTCCGCTACCCGGAGGCTTGGAGTGAGAGAAGTCAGTGACGAACACGATCCCTTCGCTGGTCAGTACTGTGGAGGAAGAGTGTGTGTGTGTGTGTGTGTGTGTGTGTGTGGGGGGGGGGGGGGGTTATTCAGCTCTTCAGCAGGAGACACAAAGCAATCCAACACAGATCTTTTTTTCAGAATCACGTACTGAGCACGAGGGAATGGATGTCAATCCAAGATTACCATCAAGGATATGATCAGCTTTCACTAAAAGGAGTGCAATCATCTCTGCTGGATCACCCTGTTTAGCATCTAACTGGAATTTAACAACAGGCCTGTAGCTGTAGTATAAAACCTATGCATAGGTCGACATTGCTCACTTCTGTAGGAGTGTATCAGATAACAGCCACTTCTGAATTTCTTTCCAATGTCCTCTAACAGAAGGACCACCCACAATCCCCGTTACTAGTACGTGTGGGCATGGTGAGCAGCTTAACAAGGAGATGAGTGAGCCCGGCATCCTACAGGCAAGGTTGGAGGGGTCGAACGGGTCAAAGGAGAAGGACAGGATGTTCTCCGCGTAGCTCTTCTTCCACAGCTTGGCCCCCGTGTCGCCGTTCCAAAGGATGATGTAGTTGGGGGGGTGGACGGCCAGCAGAAGGTCACGTGACGCATCCTGCGCCCACAGCCACTCCATGTCTGAGGAGCACAGTTTGGAGAAAATTCCACTAAATGAACTGCTTTTTAGCAGCCACCAGGAGGCAGAGTGGTTAAACACAACTTGCAAGTTCGAGTCGCAGGAAAGACGACAACTCGGCCCCCGAATTTTGCACTTTAAGACAGGGACTCTGTATATTTTACCAGTAGCCGTTTAGCATTATTATACATTCTTTTACCATTAAAATCATGTATCATACTTAATTCCTGCAATTAAGTTATTTCAATGCAAGCAACCAATCCGGGAAATGTAAATCACAATTATAAAAACGTCAAGAAGGACAGACAGTATAAAAATGTAACTTTAACATAATTTATGTGCCAGTTGCTACAGGAGCGCTATACTCTTCAGTATTGCACAGGACAAGCCATTTCAAAATGTCACAGTTTTATACATCCAGAAAATGCAGAGGAGGCCCCCAGCTCACCCTGGATGGGCTTGGAGTGCTCCTGGATCTCACAGTGGGCCGTCCCACTAACCACATCCCACACGATGATCTTGCCGGCTGCATCCGCCGAGGCCAGTCGGAGAGAGTAGGGAGCACTCAAGCCGTGATGGTAGTTCTCCCTGGACCATTTCACCTGTGGCAAGCAGCACCCCCCCCTTAGAAAACTTTGGCAAAGTACCACGGATGGCATTCCCAAAGGGATACAAATTTGGCCAAACTTTATTGCAGCATCTCACACTGACAAATTCCTAATCTCCCCAGGGGAGGACAGTCATGAAAAGCAGTACAATAAACAATAAACATCATAATCTGAGGGTTGGGAAATGAGCTTGGCAGCGCAACAGCAACAAGATTACTAATAATCAGCCAATTTCATTTACATAATATTATAACTGTACTGACTACTTTATTTTTCATAATTACCATTCAAATAAATCATCTTTTATTGTGCCGACATGTGCTCTCCTTTCACAGAAGCAAATTAGCCCGACTGGAGCTCAACTCAACTGATAGAAAGAGAGGATAGGTAATTAAACAAAGGCCAGAAAGAAAGGGGGGAGAATCATGTAGAACGACAAGAATAACCCGCATCAGAGTCACCATTCTCCCCCCACGCTGCCCACTCACAGAAGGCAACACCCCCAGGAGACGATTTCTGTCTTCACAGCTGCTTTATTTATTTTGTGTCATTTTGGTCATTATTCCTCCAAAAGGTCAAGCCCTTGTTGCTGAACGGGAGGCAGAAATGAGAACCGGCGATCCCACCCCCATCTGGACAAAGTGCTCCTTTCTGTTGCCGATTATTCAAACCGTCCGAGTGGCACGCCTCCCATTAGAAGACAGCCCCCGCCCCCCCTGAGATGCACAACACTGCACACCTCCCATTAAAGCACCCACTGGCTCATCGCACTAAGCCTAGGATGACAGATAGCACCCACATGACAACGATTCGCAGACAATTTTCTTTAGCTGGTAGTTCAGCATACATGAAACATCACCCTCTTCTCAAGGCTGAAAATGATGGTTTTTAATAAAGAAAAATAATCTCCACTTTTCAAAAGGGCCTCACATATCCAGTGAGTCTGATTCCCACCTGGTCCAAAAACACATGGTGTTACGTGGGCTGGTGTCTTTAAATTGATTTTTCTGTCTCTTCCTGGATGTACCCTGTGTCTACTGGGTTGGGCTTCAAGCTCCCTACCACCCTGTGAACTGTGAGCAGTGCTGGGTGAAGCTCGATCCACACCAGCCATCAGAAAGCTAAGCACTGGAACTTGATCCTGAACAGTCATCAGACACAAAACAATACAGTTTGACCTTTGTGTCTTGAATTTTATTTAGAATCAAAAGACAGCATATGATTTAGCGAGATGAGCTACCTTAGAAGAACAAGGCAAAGTTGAGGAAGGCCTGAAGTTACCTTAACAACACTGGCTTTGTGTCTCTCCAGAACCTGAATGGTCTGGGCTGTCTTGGGGTCAATGATGAGGATGCTGGAGTGGCAGCCCTGTGCGACCAGCCCCTGCCATCCCCTGAGAGGGAAAGACAAGAATAAAGAGAAGATCACAAAGAGAAGACATCCACAAAGGGGACTGGCGAATAGGGAGGAAAGTGACACACAACCCAGATTGATTATGCTTCCAAGAAAATTCTAAACGGCACAAAAGATCACAAATACAATGATGACGCAGCCCTAAGCTTTATGACAACAGTATCTAGTGATACACTGGAATTAATACTAATAATACAGCTACAATGGGAGCCAAGCCAACACCCAAAATGTTTAAGGAAGTTCTTAAAATAAATATTTCAAGGAAGTGTAAGCTATTGTTACAGTACATACCCTTGCAATTAAACAGTATTTACTGTCTTTTTAAAAATACAACGGATGCATTTCTTTAGTGACGTCCTGTAAAATCAGTAAGCCACGCTGACTTAGGTTTCCGAATATACCTACTAAAAGTCTTAATTTAATAAATTAACCGTTTTCCGCCATGGTCAGTGAATGAAATTGAGAACTATTTTAATCAACGGCCCCATTAACAAATTACTTCCAATATTAATTTGTATTCATACAGAATGCATACAATTTTCGCACATAAACACTGACAGTGTCTAACAGCAGACATCAAAGTAATTTCAACATCATAGAAGAGCAAGTGACACATCTGTCAGGACGATGACAACTCAAGCACCCCTGCCAATCTGACCGGCAATACACAGGACTGTCAGAAAATAACCAACATGGGTACTTCTTACAGTATGGTTAACATTGTAGTGGTCAGATCTTCAAATGTTATTCCTCCTGTTGAATTCTGTCATTAGAAGGCTAAATGGCTACATGCTAATAGCACTACTCACCAGTCGACAGCTGTTTTGTTTTGCAGATGTAGCGTGCCAGTCAAAGTCCGAGCAGCTAGCTTTATGTTCACAGTGTAAGGAATCATGACAGCTACTTAAAAGTCAGCAACACTGCATCAAAATAATAAATAAGGCTGCACTGTTTATGAGTGAGCCGGTTTATTTAACGATCACACCGAACCGGAAGTGTTGATTCCGTGAGTGGTCGCACTCTAAGTTGGTGGAGGAAATATCGGCAAGCAGATTTATGGTTCCGGGGACACTAAAGTTCCTAGTGTTAATGATAGAATGAACTATCCTACTTGAGGGAAAACAATAATAAAAGGAATTAATCATTAGTAAATAGTGAATTTAAATACATTAATATTAATTATGGTGGGATATGGGTGGGATCCATTTAACTGGCTATATTGACTTGTTTAACTCAATTGGACTCACAGGAGTTTTGCTTTGTTTTTTTGTTTTCGTTTTTTCTTGGACAAGTTTTCCGTTGCAGGCTCAGAAAAGTTCAGCAAAAAGTTTTGAAATCTGAGCTTTCTCTGGTATGCAAATCAGATATTCTTATGATAAAGTAATGTGGAGAAAAAGACCAGGACATTTTCAAATTTTTATGTCAAGCTACAGAACACAACTTCATAAAAGGGAACGATACAGAAATATATCATAATTGTCCACCAATGGTATATGCTTGCAGTACTAGCAGAATTTGTTTCTCATTTGTTTGAAGCCAGTTCCTTACCCATTCTTTGCATGAGGCTCTGCCTTGTTTAAAAAATTCAGTACTCCCGCAGTCTCCCACAACTTTAATAAACTTATATTCTGGCACAATGGAGAGATTTATTGCTCTTTTCTCCTTGGAAGGTGTACAGCATACTCATCTCTCACCTGGCTTTCCAGAGAACCCAACTGAAGCGAATAACCTGGGGTCGCTGCACACCACGTTGATTATGATCAGACTTTCCCCCATCGTGATCTCTGCCTCAGAACATGTAAGTCAAAAATCCCAGAGCACCTGCTATTCAACAGTACCATTTTTTTTTCTTTTTATTCAGTACCTTTAACACCTACAGTACCACAATGAAAAACCTTGGTGCTTGGCTGGATTTTTTGACAGCTCTCTTTGTATACTTGTCTATCCCACCAAAGTACTTGACAAGTACAAATCGTAGCAATCTTTTAAAGATTCTCTACTGTTTTTTTTTTTTTTTAGAGTATCTGCCTGGTGAAGATTCTTTTATCATGATGTATACCCATCACATATTTGAAATATATTCTGTCTGTTCTTGACAATCTATATTGTTCTTAAAATGAAGTTTTACTGGTAACTACTAATTAGTGATATCCTTTGAATTGCATATATCAGTAAGTCTTTCCTTTTAGTTTCTATACATATATATCCTGAAATTAGTATAGTATTGCAGAGTACAGTATAGTATAGTATCTATGCAGATATGAAGTAATGGTAAATTCTTAATCTAAGTCATGCTTTCAGTATGAGGGTCAGGCTACTAGACTATGGTAAAAACAAAGTATTTTGTCTGTAAAAGTGCATTGAGTTTCAGCCCCGAGTTGTAATAATAAGGGTAGCCCTGGGACCTCATCCACCAAGTGTAATTTAGGTTCAGTAATGAGGTCCAAGTAGAGAAATAATCACATGTCACCTGCTATAAAAACCAAGTTACTGTAGACAGATAGGACCCAGTATCTGCACTGCAGCTCACAGCAAGACCACGGCGGCAGGTCCATCAGCGCTTTCCCCAGGCCCTGGGCCCCAGCCCTTTCCCTGTCGTGATCGCTACTCAAACTCCAGAGAAAATACCATGCTAGCTGAAAACACGGACAGCCATCATCTCTCTATGTCCAATCAGACCTCAGACAGTGCGACGTCATGTAAGGGGCAGAGGTGGAAGGAAGCAGCTATCAAAGGGGAAATAATTACAGGAAGAGCTGTTCACCTGGAAAAAGATATGAATCCCCCCCCCCCCACCCCTGAATTAATCATGGATTTAAAAATCAACTTGAAACTTCAGAAAAGAGTAGCTATGGAATATAGATCTGGTATCAATTATTCCACCTCTTTCCATAAAAGTACCCTAATGTGGACATTGTAACCTTCCTGATATTAGGTCCTGGGGTGTCCTAAAAAATGATAAGGCCTAGCACACTTAAGGCCTAGCACACTTAAGGCCTAGCACACTTAAGGTCTAGCACACTTAAGGCCTAGCACACTTAAGGCCTAGCACACTTAAGGCCTAGCACTCCTAGCTACATTTGTGTATTCTTGACGTTTAACAAGAGATCCATTCTTATTCACAACTTTAATACCTACAAAAATGAGACTTTTTGCTTAGGGTACAACTTTTGGCACAAACTTCAGCAGATCTACAGGCAAAAATAAAGGGTCCTAAGGAGGGACCTTTCACTTGACCTGAGTTTTTGATTTGCTGTCAGTAAGAAACAGATTATATCTGCATTAATGCCCCGTAGCCAGTTATTTTTCCACATACGTGCCTGCATGTAAGTAGGGCCTTTGCAGTAAGGAGAGGTTTAAAACGCAATGTATTAAAAAGTGATGAGCCATATCTAATTTCAGTGTTATATATGCACCACAGATGATGCGTAGCTAATTTAGAGTTGATCTTACGCTCACATAGCTCAGTGGTAACTTACATGCGTAGTGGGGCAAATTTAGAGTAGACCAAAATATAAAGCTGAAACTGAAAATTCAGCCCAGAGGCTAAGCACTTTGTCACACTTTGTCAAAGGAAGTATACCACCTTTTTAATATGCAGTTGGCTCTGTTTTTGTTCTCCCTGCTGTTTTTCTGGGTCACAGTGATGTCAATCCGTAGGCCCCGCCCTCTATTTGGGGTTTATGAGGTCTCAGAGGATGTCCATATCCGGCTTGGCATCTTTCTTTCTCTCTCCCTGCCAGGTCACAGCAGGTGAAAGAAAAGAAGGAATTTATCCAGCTGGTTTATTTATCAGATGGTTTATTTATTGTTTATCAGTTAGGCACATAACACAACACACATTTGTGGATGCACACACAAGAAATAGCCTTGATCTTACAGTTCTGCATATATGCATATATGTGGATTAAAACTTTCCGGTTATTATTATTGATGAAAAGATGGATATTGCCACCCCTCTCAAGCGCTGCTGCAGGCTGAAAAACTAAGTTGGAAGTTTTGTTTACCAGCGCTGTTTACATTTGATGTCTATTTTTTAGGTCATCATTAATTTGCAAAAATTTGCATACATGTACTTATGCACAAACGCATAAAGTTACGAGGGCAAGGGTGTGATTTGTTGGTGCCCCAGATTATCTGTGTACAAACACATGCTTTCACATTGACATCTGTGTAATATTCCGCACTGTCATTAGAATGTTATGAGCTGTGACTCATTGAAACTGCACATCTCTTTTTTTCTCTCTTCTCTTGCTAGGAGATCGATGTCCAAATTGCTTTACTCCGAACTGCCTTATAGGTCAATTCCTACAATATGAAAATTAAGAAACTACATGCAAGCATTTGAAACTAGATCTATCCATGTGGGACACTGAAATATTGCTCTAGAATATGAAAGAGCAAAAAAGAGAAACAGAAAATGAGTGTATTAAACGCGTGTGATGTCCCCAAGAGTCCACTTGAAGGAAATCAGTATGCAATTCAGAAGACTGCTGTGAAGTGCAGCTTGAAGATTCGGGATTTGTTGAGAAAGAGGGTAAGAGGATGCTTCCAAAAGGCAGCCCTCTGGACCTGCAGCTTCTGCAGAGAAACATGTAGAACGGTGTGATATCACTGCTCCTCTGGGGAAGATTGCATCTTTAGGGACAAGATGGTGTTTAATCGCAGTTATGCTTGAGTGTTTAATAAATATATTAATCTTTTTGCCCATGCAAAGAATTACTATTATTTTTATTAAGACGTTAAATTTAAAATTATTCAACGACTTCAGAAAATTTGAATGGACACCACTCTCTGAAAAATATTTTTTCATCTAAATCACTTGCTTTTGCTGAGTACAGTATATAGTTCACTAAGGGATACCCATTGTCTATATCCCTGCAAAAATAACTGTGGTTTAACTACTTTGAATCATGTTTAAGTACCTTTTAATGTCCTCTCTAATGATGACTGACGCATCTATAAACATCAGACAGGAAAATGGTTGCTTAATGATAGAGTTAGGAAACAAAATGGGAAAAAGGAGAAATTGTTTTATTTCCTAGTTGAGTTAATTACTGAAGTTTAGCAGTGTCTCATGTGGAGCTGAGTTGCTTACTAGTTACGTAATCAACTTTTCTCATGGTGACAGTTTTCCTGCTGCAGATCAGTTCCGAAGTGTGTGTTTTGCAAAACCCATAAAATAACAGAGTGAATGTTTTTGTTTGGGCTTGTGGTTTGAAATTGTTCTCATTACAGTAGAAAATTATGTATCTGGTACACTAAGGTGATGCATGCTGTTTGGGCTGTTTGCATTTTATCATCTTCTAGACTGTGTGCTGCAAATATATAAGCAACATGACAGGAATAATCTAGTTGATCTGGTAGCAATGTTTACCTATTAATTTCACTGTTATTTTACCCTAATCCTTTCATATTAAATCAGTCAAAATAGCCAAAACTAAGCATGTTTTTGAGCTGTGCTGAATCTGTACAGCCACAACCGTAGTAGATCAGAGATTTGTTTGGCATAGCTTAGTGAGCACAGTGGACCTCTAACCCAGATTGAAAGCTAGATAGCTATTCATTCCTGCTGCCACTGTTCATTTCTCGCAGGTTATTGCTTTGTTTCATGTGAGCCATGTGTTTGTTGCCTGCGTTCAAAATAAATTTCTTCTGTATTTGTCTCACTCAGCAGTTAAAGAAATAGATATAGTCATTTTGTCATATCTTCAACGCAGTGCAAGTGATGGATCATTGTCTGTTCACTTTCTCCCGTCGTGATGTGTGACATGCTGGTATCCATGTCACGAGCAAAGTCAATTTCTAGACTGGTTGTCATTGTCATGATATACGGGACATTTTCAATGATTTCTCTAGTTAGTCAGGTTTATAGCTGAAATTGTTACTGCTTTCTAGGTAATATTAGATAATATTAACTACATTTTGCTGGGGGAGTGTCTGCAAAACCACCATGTTTGTAACTATTTGCATCCCTGCATTTGATTCTGAAACATTCCTGCATAATCCTCACAATTGCAATATTTAAATAACACCATATGGACAAGGGTAGCTCCACCTCTCAATATCTATTAATCTATCTATCTATTTCTATATCTAATCTAATGTCTGTCTGTCTATCTGCCTAACAGGACTGTTTTGGAAATTAGTGTCTATG